CTCCGCTCAGGTCATGATCTCAGGTTCGTGAGATCAAGCCCAGCGTCGGTCGGGCTCCGGGCTGGGTGTGGAGCCTGAGATTCAGGAAAACAAAACAACAACAAAACACCATTTAGAAAGTTTAAGGTTTATAAAATCATGTAAAACTGCATATATCAAGCTTAAACTATAAGGAAACAGGAATAACTGTACAGAAAGCACGATCAGAAATATGTAAGACAAATATACATAAAGGACTAATATACACAAACATCAACAGTAAATAGGACCAGGAGTGATGGTAAAAATTTTCCTCTTTTCGTATTTTTTCAATGTATCTATAATAAAAGTATAGTTTCTTTAAAATGGAAAAATTAATCTTTTTAAGAGAGGAAAAAAAATAATTTAGCACATTTCTATTTTTTCTTTTTTGTCCCTGAAAAAGGAAGAGAATCATGGAGAGAGACTGAGGAAGGTGAAGAAGAGCTTCGGGATGGGGAAGGCCCTGGAAGTTATTTGCAAGAAACAGTTAAAAGTGAGAACAAACAAAAAGGCAGGTTACGCTGATGGTAAGAAACTGGGGGGCCGGAGGGAGGTGAGCAGAAAATGCGGTAAAATCAGGCACGGACAATTTGGATTCCACACTCTCGAACGCAACGACGTGAAGCTGCTTTGGTACCAGAAATGCTGGTAAGGTTGGTGGGAGCCAATCACACCACCAAGAGCGGTCGGCGTGGAGGGTGGCCTGCCACACACCACGCTGCACCCCGAGAGCGTGAGAACACGCCAGAACGGTCATGGGGTCCCCAAGAGCGTGGGCCCTTTGCCTTGGGAGCCTGGGGATGGGGCCAGCACCGCTCACCTGCGGGGTGCAGGAGGGGCTCCGACCTCTGCCGTGCCTGTGACTCAGGATGACTGACGGCAGGAGAGGCTACGGAGGCCCTTCTGTCCTGACTCTACTTCCCGTCCCACTGAGCCCTTACCCCCATGCCACGCAAACACAGCCCTTGTCCACCAGGGGGCTCTTCCCAGCGCAGGAGGATCAGGCCACTGAAAACAGTGTCACAGAGTGCAGCGTCCCTGCTCTAATTAAACCCCCTCTTTTCCAAGGTGTGCAAACCTTGGAGCCACGGAGCCACGGATTAACTCCTGCAACTACTAAGATGAGAGTTGAAAACAGCAAGTTATTTCCTCCGTCGGCCTTTGGCTGTCTGGATCGGGGGCCCAGGGTAGGTTTGTTTCTTTATTTTCCTCCTTTTGGAGTTTGCTACAACAGTTAGAAAAAGCTTTCTTACAGGAAGCTAAGAACACTAAAGAATTCTCAAATATTTCTGCAGTTTTGGGGATTTTTTTAAAACTGAATCCTAAGCAGTGGGACCAAGATGACAAGGTGGGGGGGGTGTTCTGGTTTGCCTGCATGCTCCTTGCAGAGACGCTTTGGTGAGCTCAACAGGCTAATCCCAGCATCAGACGCTCGGCAGCCTCGGCTGGAAGCCCGTCCCGCGTCCACCAGGCTATAGGACAAGCGCGGCCCAGAAACTCCACTGGGAACTGAACACACCAGCTTCCCCGTGGCTCCTCTCTGTGGCAGGAGCACCTGCTGGGAGGCCCACTCTCCTTCCTCCTCATTTCCCACGACCACGACATCTTGTCGGGTGAAGCACACGCCGCCATCAAATGAATGAACAACAGGAACAATTTCATAATTACTCCTGCAGACCTGCTGGACCGCTTTTCTTAGAAGCCACAGGGTGTGAGTACTGGCCTTAAGGGAAGAATTAAGCCTGCCAACGATGGGGCCTGACAGGACGGCAGAACCAAGTTCACAGTGCACAGTAGACAGAAGGTGTCTTGTACGGCTCAGCTCCATACGCAGACCTGGGAAATGAATGTCACCGGACAGGTCAGACGTGGGGGATGGAGCATGGTCATGCCACCAGCTTCTCTTCTTGCCTCCGTGTGGCATTTCGTAGCCACAGAGCCCCTGACGTGTCACCGCCACTCACTCGCAGAGCTCCTTAGGACAGACCCAGAAAGCGTCCTCCGTGCCGTGCTGCCCATCAAGGCCCAGAGGCCGTGAGAAGTGCACGCAAGTGCCACACGGCGGGGCCGCGGGGAGTGCAAGCCCATGCTGCCTCTGACCTCCATTCTTCCTACGACTCGGCCTGTATTTTTAAGGGCTGAGAGCCCCCTCACTGTGCAATGCTCTGGGGAGACCCCGAATGGAGCCACTAGACCGGATGACTCTTCCTGAGGCTCCTTTCAGTCCTGACCGACGAGCCCCGGGCTGGGCTGTGAGCAGCCATGCTGGCCTCTGGGACCCCTCTCCGGTGCCCCCTCTCCCTCTGACACGGCTCCCGGGGTGGCGAGCTAGCCTGGACCGGCCACGGGATTCCCTGGGCTTGGGCCACCAGGCCAGGGGCGGCACCAGCCTCCACGGCCTCCCCGGCCTCTTCCGTCCAGCTTCCGGAACCATCATGTTCTACCCGTGGGGTCCTCCTGCCCACGGACGTGAGACCAAACTGAATCAGGTCTCCAGAGCCCACTTTCTATTTAGAGAAGGGAACGGAGCAGAGAAAGAGGCTAATCAACAAGACAACGAATCAAACGGATGAATCCAGAACGTGGGCTATTCCACAGAATTACCCATCTGATCTCTCCGAGTTTCGGATGGTGGGGAGAAAGAACGGGAGAAAGGACTGCCTAGAATTAGAGACTTAAGAGACACAGCAACTAAATGTAAAGATGTTGGCTCCTAATTTATACAAACCATTTTTTAAAAAAGGCTTTTTTAAGACAATCAAGATATTCCATGAACTGATAATTGCCAATACCAAAAAATTACCATTGAGCATGTTCACTATACCAACAGCATTAAAGTTATCCATAAAATGTCCAAAATTTTCAGATGCACACGAAAGCATATAGCCATCAAATGACATCGTCTGACATTTGTTTTAAAATACTTCCAAAAAAAAATGTGATGAAGCAAATGCAGCCAAGTCTTGATAATTATTGGATCTGGGTGTTGGGTATATGGAGGTTCCGTTATGAGCTTCTCTACTCTGGGAGATACATCTGAAAATTTTCAGAATGTAAATTGTTTTCTGAATCCTTTCTTCCAAGAGCCTGTTTTACAAAAGAAGTAATTAGACTTAACGAGTCCTTAACTAATTGTTTTTGCTAAGCTGTGCTTACGTTTCATCCCCTCCTGTGTTCCTTTCCTTAAAAAAATCCCAATTTCCAAATGACCGTCATGGAAGGATGGCCCCAGTCGGGATTTCTGGCAACTCCATATACGAGTGGCACGTTTGGGCCGAGTTTTTTATTTTGGTTTTTTGTTTTTTTGTTTCTTTTCACAGTTCCTGCTGTGACCTCTGTCTTTACCAAGAAAAACCACAACTATTTATAGCCACGGGACCTTGGCTGGATTTGCTGATGACTCAGGCGGACTCTCTGAGCGCCAACGCTAACCAAGCCCGGGCTTGCCGGCAACTGGATGGAGTGGCAGAGAGAGGCCCTGGGGGTGGGACCAGAGCAGGGAGAACGTCTACACAGTACAACCCATCCACGTCGCATCCATGACCGTGGGCTTGGCCTGGCATGCTGTGTGCCCTGGTGGGATAAATTTCCCCATGCACAGACCTTAAGAAGCTCCACTAAGCTTGGGCAAATAGCCTACACTGTCCGCCTACTGCTGAGAACACACTGCCGATCAAGCCAGGCTCCCTCCAAGAGTCCACATCACTGGACCCTCACTGATAGTAAGAGATTTCCTCTAACGCAGGAACCACAGGCAGTGCTCGAGGGCTTTCACAGAGGGTGGAGAAGCTGTGAGGCTGGCTTCTCTGGAGGACGACAGAACAAGACGGAAGGTCCAGGGTGGGGTGGGAGGCTGCTGACGGGGACGATGGGACCACTCATTCTTCATGGCGGCTTTTCCAGAGTTCAGTGAAGAGCCTGAGGCCAAAACGGAGAAGCAGGAAACCAGCTACCTTCCTGAGTGCACACCTCAGTCTAAGAAGGAAGGGGGCGCGGTGAAGCAAGTAACCTAGCGGCGTCCAGAATTTCATACAGACACCACTTTGGAACCCTGGTGAATTCTTCCGCTCTCCTTCCCAGTTCTAGCAGAGAAGACTCTTCTGGAAAGAACTAAAGTGAAAGGGGATGGACTCGAAAGCACATGGGTGCTTTGCCAGTGCAAGTGCAATGCAAAGAAATGATTGCAAGGGCACCACGGCATTCCCTGTACCCTCCCAACCTAGTCAAGGAAGCCAGCCTCTTCTAATTCTTACTGCATTAGAGCTTTGTGGCCGGCACGCACTGTAAAAACTGAATCTTCTGCTAGTTATTCAGAAGTCCCAGTGCTCTCCCTAGTTGGAAGCACCGTAAGGTAAAGGTTAGGGGGTCAGGAGTATTTTGTGAACCTGACGGAAAAAACAGAGCCAATGGGAGAGGAATAGAGTTTATTTTAAAGAAAGGTCTCTGTGCTACTAGGGAAGATCAACAGGGCAAAATGTGCCTCCAGGGAAGAGTGACCCTGCTTGGGTGGGCGGACGGTGCGAGGGGACAGGGACGGTGTCTCTTGCCCTTACACATCACCACTGCAGGGAGTAACAGAAAGAAGGGAAACATACCACTGGAAGCCACACTTTCCATCCAAGAGAGGGAAAAAGCATCTGAAAGCTCTTGGATCTGTGTCAAGGGAGTGAATGGTATTTTAAACTTCTGGCAGGAAACCAGAGAGCTGCACCCACACGCAGAGCCTCACCGCTGCCAGCACACCAACTAGACCACGTATGCTCCGAGCTGGGGAACACTGGCGGGCTTGGAGATTCTGAGAAGGGGGCCAGGGGAGGTGGGGGGGGGGGCCCTGCCATACTGCTTAGTAACGTTCCCGGATAAGGATGCAGGGCTTTGACGATATTCTCAGGCAACGGTCACCTCCGGCCTGAGTCAGAGGACCCCCGGGCAAGACGACAGACAGACAAGAAGGGCGATCACAGTGAGCAAAGGTTTACCTTCGGAGAGCAGTTGAAATGCATGCCGGGCACTGGGAGGGTGGTCACATACATGGTGACACAGCGGTACAGGTACAGTGTGCCGACTATGCAGAAGAATCTTCTGCTGATAATAGACCTAGAGAAAGGGAAAGACAGGCCACTCAGTCATGAAATTCCGCACGTGCAGTGAGGTTTTCCGTGACCCGACACACCAAACCAACCCCCAAATTGCTTGAGAACTTGAAATAAGAATGTTCTAACCAAAGCTTACAGTAGACTGACATAAGGATTTTGAGAATGAGGTGGTGGTTTTTGATTCTCTTAATGTGAACTGGCCAGAGGAGGGTAAAGGGCTCTCCATTGCTGCTAACGAGGCTTCCCGAGGCCTTACACCTGAGCTGACGTTCACCTGCTGGGTAAGTGGGGCCCATTCTGATTGACCCGTACCTGTGCTTACACAATTATTAGAGAGTAGAGTGTGTTTTCCGTCATACAAAGGGAGGATGCTCAGAATACGAAAATGGCATTAAAATGAGAATTCACAAGTTTTCTGACCTTGAATGAGTCAAGGACACGGAACAATTGTACGGACTCTCCTGGCTGATCTCCCTCTGCGTTAAGTATGATGTCAAGAAAAGAGCCTGTCTGGTTAACAGCATCTGACCCCCCACCTCTCTCCATGTGCGAACTCTGTGGCCGTGGGACAGGCCACTGACAGAGGACCCTCAGTTTCTGAATCCGTAAACTGGGCCCAACAACATTAGAAACCATGTAGGGACAGCCCCAGCCTCAAATGTCCAGGTTACGTGGATGAGTCACAAAATAAGCAAGAATTAGAAATCTTTTCCATTTCAAGCCGATGAGTCATTCTAAGGAAACTATCTGATATACACACGTGAACAAGTATATTGAGCTTGGTAACTTCACCTAGCCTCAAGTTCCACATCGGTTAACTTGAATTAGAGTGAGTTGTGCTAGCTCCAGTGTATCCTTGGACAAAAATGTTCCCTCCCTCTCTACTCCTACCCTGTTCTTCCACAGGCCAGAATCACAGTCCTGCGGGCTCCTCCTTCTCAACTGCGAGGAGTTCAAATGTTTCTTTGGCCTGGGGCAACCTGAGTTCAATGCACAAAAAAAGCCTTAGAAACAATGGGCAGCCTTTCCTCTCAGATACTGAACATTTACTCTATAATTTATAGCGTAGTTCTATTCTTAGGCAGAACGGACATTCCTACTGAAGTTGTGTCTTTGGAAGAGAACTGGTATCATCTGCGTTTTTTGTTTTGACAAGAGGAACAAAGTAACGTGTCAGTTGTGTGAATAAAAAATTTTATTTTTTATTAGCTGGGTGGCTCAGTCGGTGAAGCATCTGCCTTCCGCTCAGGTCATGCTCTCAGGGTCCTGGGATCGAGTCCCGCACCGGGCTCCCTGCTCAGCGGGGAGTCTGCTTCTCCTTCTGACCCTCCCCCATTCTCGCACTCACGCGCTCTCTCTCTCTCTCTTTCAAATAAATAAAATCTTTAAAAAAAAAAAGCACAATTAAACAATATAAAGAGGGACAGTGCTAGAGAATGATACTAACCCTATAAATGTCTGACCAAGAATACTCGAAACACCAAAGTGAATTTTCCACTGTGAGACAGAAGGGTCATCTTTCTTCAGAAGGAAATGCCCTCTCTAGCCCTCCTGCCCAAACAAATTATTTGCCATTTCACTTGAACTACACAAGAAAGAGCTAAGACAGAAAGCTGTTACATTTATCTAGATCTGTTTATCTCTTTGGGGAAAGACAAACAACGTGACCACTATCAGTCCACTTGGGTAGAGATTACAATTAAGATTACAAAAAAAAAAAGTTTTAAGTAACAAACACTGAAGATTCAGCCACAATTACTCTTTGACTTGAAGTGAAAAAGGCAAATGACTTTATCATGTGACTTCATCAATATTAACAAAGTGGTAAGTTGAAAGTGGCTGTAAGCATCTAATCTTTGGCATTTACTTAATCTTTTAAAAATTAATCTTAGAATAGCTTCAATATATAATGTTAAACCAGGATCTCCTTGCACAAGCTTTAAAAAGCAGGTTATAAAAGTGTTTTCAAAGAACTGTATGCACTTAAGGCAATTACTTCCTTCATCAAAGAGTTTCACACATTAGAATTTTTACTCTACTCAGATGTTTAAAAGTTCAAGATGTGTGTGCTCGCCCCAGCAGCACATATACCAAAACTGGGGTGATACAAGTTCAAGACATGTTTAAAAAAAAAAAAAAAAAAAAGGTCTGAAGTGGTTAAAAATGTAACAAGGCAACAAAAAGCCACACAAGTATTAATGAGATATTACGAGGGATTAAGCGAATACCAAGAATAAGACGCTGTTATAACTCTTAAAACCACAATGGTGTTCCCCTCACATGGGGTCATCTCTCACTGGGAAGGAGCCTGCTTCCCAGCCGCTTGCACTGCCTAACGACCGTGACCTCGTTGCAGACTTGCATTTGGCCTCGGTTATCTATTTGTCTCTCAAGGATTTGGGTAATGGGCTCTTACCATTTTTCCTGAAAGAAAAGAAAATGCTTCTTTGTTAAAAATGATTATAAGGAAACATGAATGAAAGTGTTATTATTTTATAGATAACTACTGAAGACTTGCTAGAAGAGCATATTATGGTCAGGACAGGTGACTTATTAAACTTTTTAACATCCTTACTTAAAAAGGAGAAAGTGCTCAAAACCTGATTAAACACCACCAAAATCAGCAGTAGTACATTGCTTTTGGCATTTGGCACAATGATCTAAAATTCTAAAGAAAAAAAGCGGTGAAAGACATTAACACACTACCGTGTAAAATTAAAGTACTGGAAGGTTCTTTGGCTTCCCACAAGTTGTCTTTTGCAACGAATCCACAGCCAAAAAACATACATACAGCAATTCTCTCAGAGCTCAGACCTGGTCTGCAAGCTCTTTATGGAAGCTCCTGGCCTTGGGCCTTGACACACAGCAACGGAAGGAAGCAATAATCCCAAACCCAGAGGCAACAAACAAGAGGGAACAGAGTCAGGGAGACCCACAGCTCTGGCGCGGTCACGGGAGCCAGGGCCTGATTCAGGTCCTGGACCAGCTACGGCAGGATGCGCGGCGCGGACCAGGCACGGGGAGCTCATCACCACACGGGTGCTTGCTCTACCTTTAACAAAGGCTCACGTGGTGATTTGCGCCAGCTTGATTAATTCCCTTGGAAATTTGCTTCCTCACCAGCAAAAGGATGCCACGCCTCTTCCTTATGAATCAAAGAAATGATATCAAGGTGTTTTTCCAGGCTGTTATTAATAGCGGCTACAGGGTTTTCCCAGATCTCTCCTATATGCCCAGCACTGTGCCATTTAGTTCTTAAAAGCAACCTGCAATGCAATGTGATCCTCGTTTCACAGATGGGAAAACTGAGGTTCCGAGTGCAAGCTGACATTTAAGTGTATCACACAACACAGACAGGCTCGGGAAACGGTGTCAGATTGTGTAAGAAATCCCAATTTCACCTGAGACGACACCGTGTGTGCTTAGAGATGAGCTGACATCCTAACACATTTAAGTTTATGTTTAAAAATCTATTTAACTCAGGGGCGCCTGGGTGGCGCAGTCAGTTAAGCGTCCGACTCTTGATTTCAGCTCAGGTCATGATCTCAGGGTCATGAGATGGAGCCCAGTGTCAGGCTCCACGCTCAGTGCAGCGTCTGTTTGGGACTCTCTCTCCCCCTGCAGCCCCCTGCTCACATCCACGTGCTCTCTTTCTCACATAAATAAAATCTTTAAAAAAAAAGATACTCGACTCAGACTTTTCACTGTTAGTGTTTTATGTCATATTTCATATGGACCAGAACTCCCCAAATTAAGAATTTTGATAATACTTTAATAACCATGTTAACTATGACAGTACTGAAACAAATCCTTCTAGATCTCTAACACGAAACGCACTCACTTTCCATCACTATTTGCAGACTGCACCCGGCTACGCTTACAGCCCCGACGTTTACGTAGCCACATCTTGGCGTTCTATCTCGCCTGGACTCCTTCTTCCACCTGCTGTCCCACCTGTGCCTCCCTAAAATCCATTCCACACAGACCCACCAGAATCAGTTTCTGGAAACTGACAAACAGATCATGTCCTTTGAAACCCTTCAATGGGGGCGCCTGGCTGGCTCAGCCGGTTAAGCATCTGCCTTTGGCTCAGGTCATGATCTCAGGGTCCTGAAAATGAGCCCTGCATCGGGCTCCCTGCTCAGGGGGGAGTCTGCTTCTTCCTCTCCCTCCACCCCTCCCCCTGCTCATGCTCTATCAAATAAATAAGATCTTAAAAAAAAAAAAAACCATCAAAGGTTGCCAAATATTTTTCTTTTATATAAAAGATTTTATTTATTTATTTGACAGAGAGAGAGAGAGACAGCTCGAGAGGGAACACAAGCAGGGGCAGTGGGAGAGGGAAAAGCAGGCTTCCCGCTGAGCAGGGAGCCCGACGCGGGGCTCGATCCCAAGACCCTGGGATCATGACCTGAGCCGAAGGCAGACACTTAATGACTGAGCCACCCAGGCGCCCCGCCAAATACACTTTAAACAGAATCCAAATCCTTTACCAAGCCCAGGAGGCCCTGGAGGAGCGGGCCCACCTCTCTCTACCTCCTCTCCCACCGCTCTCTGCAACGTTCTCCAGATCGAAGCTCAGTCCAGTGCCGCTGGTGCTCTTAGCATCTACGCTTCCAAGTCCCTCCCGCCCTTAGGTAGGACCTGGATTCCCAGGACACTGCCTGCCACTCAGGTCTCAGAGATCGGACTCTGAAGAAGTTCCCTGGTGCGCTCTATCTCGGACTTCTAGTTTAATCTCTTTCCCACCACTTTATAAAACTGTCCCCACTCAACCCACTTTAAAAATATATATATATCATTTTCTGGATTAAATATAGATCATAACATCATGAAAAAATTTTACTCTACAAGATAGGAAAGACAACAACAGTATGATCTACTTGAAACAGTTATGAAGAATTAAAGTCAAGTGGCTTTCAGAAACTGCTACATACATACGTACAAAAGAGAATGGGTTGCGTCTTGTTACTATTTCAGGCTATAACAAAAATGAATCCA